AGAAAAAAAATACAAAAACAGGATGGTGCTACAAATGGCGTACGCCATATATAGCTTGAAAGCTTCCCCCCTCCCCCATTTTGGTGTGATGATGTCAAGTTTGGTGCCATTGTTGGAGCATTTTTTTGCCAAATACACCATTTTGATGTTGAAGATGGTGCTTGTTGGAGATGGCCTTATATATACAAGGGGGAAGAGGGGTAGGGCTACATGTAATATGAATTGACTCTTACAATACATACGGGCCAGATAGTATAATGGACATCTACATATTAAAAATAATAATCTTTGTTTAACCTTTGAACAAATTCATGCATTCAACATCAATCATTTCACCGCCCCCTAAGCTTGGAGCCAATTAGAATAAGTAACTTCCTTTTTAAACACTAAATGGATGCGTGTAAATGTTTGCAGCTTAGGGGTAGGGGTTAATGATCAAAGCATGTGCTCAAACTCCAAATACTCATGAATAAAGTAGTTAAAATTATACGTAGTAACAATTTTGAGATATCTAACGATTTTATTAAACTAATTCTCCGTATTACGTAAATATTTACAATTTTGTTAGGTGGACACTTACGTTACACCTTTTCACCCTTCCTCTTTCGAATCTGACCACAATTTTACAGGGGCTCGTGCACCCCAAGTCCATAGCTACTTCCGCCACTGCCTCTCGGCACAAATTATAAGGTACACTCGGGTGTATCTATACATCCGGTATTTTTGTACTCCGTACTACGTAATGATAATCCGATTGAATTATCTTCATCACTCTATTTAACTAGTAATGATCTAACATTTTCATTAAAATTATCTTCTAAATAGTAATGCCCACCAACTATTCGTAAACACTCCTAAGTAATTTTTTTTTTTCATTTGTAGAGCAAATTTTATGCTCAATTGTATGGTTTCAATGTTCAATAGAGGAGATTTGATGGCGATAAAAAAATAGAGAAGTTTTGATACTCAATGAAAATATGCTCAACAAGCAAAGCTTACAAATTTCATATGAATAATATATCAAAAGTTTAATATTAAATTAGATTCGTATATTGGAATCCATAGAAGTTGATTTTAGATATAAGTTAAGAAATTTTTATAAAATAAAAAATAAAAAAAGAAAGTGAACCAGAAGTTATGAAGCAGAAATCATGATGCTTAATATTGGACTCTTAATACTCAATAGAATAAATCTGATGCTCATTAAAAGTTTGTTAATGCTCATTTAACAGAAACCATGATTTCCATCATAGAAATTAGTTCAAATAGGACTAAAACTATGACAAAAACCTAAAATAGGACTTGCTATGTTTTATTCCAAAACATGACCATATGAGTGCTATTGGAAACATACCTATTTTTGCATTCCATTCTTACCCTTCCATTAAATATGAATTAAAAATAGTCAAAAGCCATAATTAAATGTTTAATTCATAATAAATTCGAAAAAAATTCAAAAATTCGTAGAAATATAATTAAAAAATTTATAAAATTTTTATAAAATAAAAAATTCAAAAAAAAATTTTTTAAATAATTTTATTTTTAAAAAAAATAATAAAAAATAGTAAAACTCAGTAAAAAAATTTAAAAAAATATGGATGCCTTTCCCACCGCCTGTACTACCTCCCAGCACCACCACCTCCGGTCGATGAAAAAAATGCCATTTTCCCAGAAAAATGTCATTTTTTTCTGAAAATGCCAAAAAAGTGGCATATTTCTCTTTTCGAATGCCAACATTTTCGTTTTTTTCTGCCATAAATATGGCATTTGTTTTCCCTGGTGACTGGAGGTGGTGGTGCTGAAGCGGCAGAGGCGGCGGCGATTTTTTTTTTTGAGTTTTTTTTTTAATATTTTTTTTAATTTTTTTAGTTTTTTGAAAAAAAAATAATTAAAATTTTAATATCGAAATGTTTTTCTTAATTTTTTAGTATTTTTTACGAATTTTTATTTTTTTTTATTATTTTATTAGGAATTAAAACATTTTAATAGCTATAAGGGTATAATTGTCCAAGGTACACATAATTAGTCCTATGCAAACATAGTTTATTTTTTGGTCCTATTTGTGAAAAGTGAATGACTTTTAGTCCTATTTTGATAATTAACTCTTTCCATCTCAATAGAAATGGTTTGATACTCAATGAAAATGTCTTGATGTTCAACTAACAAACCTTACGATTTCATATCAATGCACATCTTGTAAGTTACGTATGTTCATTCAGTACCGATGTTATGCTCATTTTTAAAATGTCATAGTAATGCATATTTTAAAAATACCATATTACATTAGATTACGATATTTAAAATCATTGGAGTTGATTATAGATAAAATAAGAAAAATAAAGTGAATTAGAAGATACGAAGCAGAGATCACATTGCTCATTCTTTGGCTCCAAATACTCAATATATTAGATTTGATGCTCATTAAAAATGCAGTTGCTCATTCAACAGAAATCATAATTTTCATCTCAATAGCAGTTGTTTGATGCTCAATAAAAACGTCGTGATATTTAACTAACAAACCTTTTGATTTTCATATAAATGAGCACTTTGTAAGTTATGTATGTTCATCTATGTTATGCTCATTTTTAAATGTCATATCAATGCATATTTCAAAAGTATCATATTACATTAAATTAATAGTAGTGTATTATAGATATAATTTACTCCCTTCGTCCCAAAAAGGTTTGCCAAATTGACTTTTCTTGGTCAATGACAATCAATTTTGACCAATGATATATTTTAATACGAAATTATTTAGAATATGAAAATTATATCAAAATATTCTTTGTTGAAAATATTTTCATAAAAGTATAAAATTTATAAATTATATACAAATATAATAACTAAAGTTATTGCTCAAAGTTTGCTATTATTGATCAAGAAAATTCAATTTGGCAAATCTTTTCGGGACAGAGGTAGTAATAAGTTTGTTTATAAAAGAAAAAAAAAGAAAAAAATTGAACTAGAAGATATGAAGCAGAGATCATGATGCTCATTGTTAGTCTCTTAATACTCCATAGAATATGTTAGATGCTCACAAAAAGTACACTAATGCTCATTCAGTAGAATCCGTAATTTTTCGCTTAAATTACAAAAATGTCATTAAAAATGACTTTTACTCATTAATGGGTTGCCTTCCTTAGTTGGGGTGGATGTATCTACCAAAAAAGGTCAATTAAAGTAACTCAACGTTTTTAAGCAATTTAACCGTTCATATTTTATGAGCGTGAAATACTTTAATAGATTATACATATACTCCATTCTTAAATTTAATCTCATTTTAGCTGGAAGGACAAAACATGTCAATCTCTAGTAGTCTAGTTGACTATTAAACCCAATTATTCAAGTCAATAATACCACCCTACATCACAGGTACTCGAATAAAAATTTTAATATATAATAAATGGAAAACTAATCCAAAGTCCAAACCGAATAAAAATGGACCAAATCTCACTAATTTGGTTTGATTGGTAATTATTCTCCTTAACCATTCGAAACCAAACTAATAATTAAAAAATCCCCAAATGAACTCAAAATACCCACCCTAATTCGAATGATAGCCTTGATAACAATTTTTAAATCATTCACTCGATGTGCCAATTTATTGAAGGTTTGTATTAGGTGGCAATGAGGTGTCACACACGTGGCAGAATAAAACATACATGGTATCCAATTTTTGAATGAGAATTGTCTATTGAAATTAATAAACCAAAGGTATCACGGTAGATTCAAAATAATAGTAGTTCCACACAAAAAATTTAATGATTAGACTTGGACTCTATAGATGAGCCATAAAAGATGCTAACTATGCTAACTAGTAATTAAAATTATTAAGTCACAATTTTGTCCACCACCTTTTAGGAGTAAATAGTGATTGATTTCACTCATAAAGCAAAGGAGAAATTTGTAGGAAAATCAAAATTAACACACATATGTAGACAAATCTAGTCAATGAATTCATGGTTACTATGTAAGAAGTGTTTTGGAGGAGTATATAATTAAACCTTGCTTTATTTTCTAGTGTGTCTATAATTTTTATTATTCTGTAATTTTGATAGTCATTTTACCGGTGCTTTTTTCTCAAATTAGCGATGCGAGTTGCTACACGATATGATATTACTACGTTTAATTTCTATTAAATCTAAAAAATTGAATTTATTCCGGATAAAATTTAGTCACGGATCCGGTCCGTGACTAATGTTTTTGATTATAAAAAAACAATTTTATATAAAAAAATAAAAAAGGAAAATTGAATTTATTCCGGATTAAAAAGTAGTCACGGATTAAGTCCGTGACTAATGTTTTTGATTTTAAAAAAAACAATCTTTTACAAAAAATAAAAAATTATTTTAATTTTATTTTAGAACAATTACAATAAAAATAAATTCCAAACGCTTTTAAAAATAAAAATGTTATTACAGACAGAATTATAAAAACAAAATCAATACAATGTCAAACAATGTAATGTTATTACATGTCCGTACGTCGGACTCCATTGTGATGATAATTAGAATCATCGTAATCATATTCATCATCATTATCATCATCATGACGATGATGATCCTCTTCTGCATCCACAGGGTCCAAGGGTCGGGAACTTCCTCGGCTGCCTCAGTTGCCTCCTCGATTGCCTCCTAGGTTGCTTCCTCGGTGGCTTCCTCGGTGACTTCCTCGGTGACTTCCTCGGTGACTTCCTCGGTTGCCTCCTCCCGATGACTGAAACTGATTGAGCATATCAGGCGACAGAGATCCAAATGTAGACCCTATGGCAGGCATGGCACCATAACCGAAGTTAGAGTGATAACCCATACCACCCATGTGCGGAACCTGAGGAGTCTGCTCAACGTGCATAATGTACGGCCGAGGATGAGGTTGAGGTGGAGGCTGATATCCAGCAAGGATCCGTTCCATCGCTTCCAGTCGGGCCCGCGTTTCTTCATCATTCTTTCGTTGCTGTTCAAGTGCACGCTGCTGCTTCTCCAATTCTCGCTGCAATTGGGCAATGCGTGGATCCTCTCCTCGTCTAGATTGAGAAGATGATGAAGCTCCGCTGCCGCTGCGATCGTACAAAATACGTTGCCCCTCAGCCCCGAGGCATGGAAGCCGACCCTTGTACACCCCTGTTGCCTCAAGGATGGCATCATCTTCCACATCAGAACCGATGTCATCTTCTTGAGTCAAGCCAAGTTCCGCCCGCTTCTTTTCAACATTTGCGTTATACTTTGTCTACAAACATTTTAAAAAAATTATTCAATGATATTTACTTCAATTTGAAATAATAGTATGGATTTTGAAATAATATTATTGATGTTACATACTTCGATTTCAGCAAGGCGGGGTGGTAGATTGGCTGGCGACTCAACACCGCTCTTCGTCCAACAATGTTTGATTACACTGAGGATAGGGACCCTCTTCCTTTGAGGCCCCGCCTACAAGGTTAGAAAAAGGTTTAAATAAATTTAAAAAAATAAAAGATTAAAATGGTGTAGGTTTATTTGAATAAGACTTACCAGAGCTTCTTTATGTTTACTCTGGGGTTTGCGGCCTCCGTGCCATTGTGTCGTCATGGCCTTCTCGGACATCCGATTTTTCTTCCCGGCTTCGCTTCTGGCCAAGAAAGTCGGATCTGAAGACCAGTGGCGGACGAGGTTTTCCCATACCTCATCCGAACACCATTGAGGCCTGACCCCACTGGCTCGAGCACGCCTAAAAGTGGGGCGAAGCCAGTTTGAAACTCTGGCATTGTACGCCCTTAGAATAGCGGGGCCTTGTTCTTCAGTCCAACGAAAACGGGCCTTTATTAAAAAAATAAATTAACTTATCATTTGTCAAATTTTATGTTACATCAATGACGAAAAATTGATTTTTTTACCTTGAACAAGTTCCACCAAAGTTCACGAGCCTTGGGATCAACATCCGTGTACGTCGCCCAGTTGCCAAGAAAGTGTCCACCAATTATGATTTTGATTTGGTTGAGCACATCTTGATCGCTTCAAAAAATTAATATTTTTTTTTAGTTCATTAAAAAAATTATTTAATTATTTGAAATTAGATAAAATTCATAGTTACTTACTTAGCAACCATGTGAGGTGTCACCCATTCAGAATCTTCATTGTTGCGCTCGGTTTGGGTTAAGGGCGCATAGTTCGGGCGAGCACGGGATGTGGATTGTTCATTGCTCATCTAAAATAATTGATTAATGAGGAGTATTAATATACATTTTCAAATAATTGTGTAAATATAATAGAAGATCAAATTTTGATTTAAATAAAGGCCGTATTTTAAAGGCCGTATTTTAAAGGCCGTTTTGCAAAGGCCGTTTTGGATAACCGTTTTGGATAACCGCTTTGGATTACCGCTTTGGATTACCGCTTTTGATAACCGCTTTTGATAACCGCTTTTGATAACAGCTTTTGATAACAGCTTTTGATAACAGCTTTTGATAACAGCTTTTGATAACAGCTTTTGATAACAGCTTTTGATAACAGCTTTTGATAACAGCTTTTGATAACAGCTTTTGATAACAGCTTTTGATAACAGCTTTTGATAACAGCTTTTGATAACAGCTTTTGATAACAGCTTTTGATAACAGCTTTTGATAACAGCTTTTGATAACAGCTTTTGATAACAGCTTTTGATAACAGCTTTTGATAACAGCTTTTGATAACAGCTTTTGATAACAGCTTTTGATAACAGCTTTTGATAACAGCTTTTGATAACAGCTTTTGATAACAGCTTTTGATAACAGCTTTTGATAACAGCTTTTGATAACAGCTTTTGATAACAGCTTTTGATAACAGCTTTTGATAACAGCTTTTGATAACAGCTTTCGATAACAGCTTTCGATAACAGCTTTCGATAACAGCTTTCGATAACAGCTTTCGATAACAGCTTTCGATAACAGCTTTCGATAACAGCTTTCGATAACAGCTTTCGATAACAGCTTTCGATAACAGCTTTCGATAACAGCTTTCGATAACAGCTTTCGATAACAGCTTTCGATAACAGCTTTCGATAACAGCTTTTGATAACAGCTTTTGATAACAGCTTTTGATAACAGCTTTTTATAAAACAGCTTTTTATAAAACAGCTTTTTATAAAACAGCTTTTTATAAAACAGCTTTTTATAAAACAGTTTTTTATAAAACAGTTTTTTAGAAATCAGTTTTTTAGAAATCAGTTTTTTAGAAATCAGTTTTTTAGAAATCAGTTTTTTAGAAATCAGTTTTTTTAAAACAGTTTATTTTTTTTATAAAACAGTTTTTTAAGAACTGTTTTTTATGTCTACCTCAACATTTTATAATTATTAACATGTTAAACTTTTTTGGAAGTTTGACATGAGGGGGTATTTTGTTTAATTACTTCGGGAAATTTTTTAATTAAAAAGGCTTTATTTATTAAACAGTGTTTTTTCATAGTGTATATTTTATATTAAATTTGAGAAAACTATTTTTTAATGTCTAACTTATTATTTGATAACTATTAACATGTTAAACATTTTTGGAAGTTTGACATGAGGGGGTATATTATTCAATTACTTCGGGAAAACTTTTTAATTAAAACGATTTATTTAATAAACACTGTTTTTTCATTGTGTTTATTTTATATTAAATTTGAGAAAACTGTTTTTTAATGTCTAATTTAATATTTTATAATTATTGACATGTTAAACTTTTTTGGAAGTTTGACATGAGGGGGTGTTTTTTCATGTCTAACTTAATATTTAATAATTAACATGTTAAACGTTTTTGGAGGTTTAACACGAGGGGGTATTTCTTTAATTATTTGGGAATATAATGTAAAGAGGCATACATATTAAATAAACTAACTCATGTTCTTTAATTCCTAAGTCCGAAATTAAAAAAGATATTATTTAATCATGCATGTTTAACTTATAATGAAATTTTATGTAGCCATACATATTAATTAAACTTATAGACAACCAATATAAGCATGCCAATTAATCATATATACAAACTAAATCATGTTATATTGAGCATATAGAACATGTAATAAACTGAATCATGCCAATTATATTGAGCATAAAGAACATGTAATAAAACTTGTACACAACACATAAAGGCATGCCAATTAAACATATATACAAACTAAATCATGTTATCTTGAGCATATAGAACATATTAACATGTATTTCGAAAAACGTGTGCTAAACATGTATTTCAAAAAACGTGTGTTTCTCATATTAATGGATAACATGCATACAGAAAACAAGTATTTCGAAAACTAAATTATATTTCAATTCAAAAATTAAAGCAATATAAGAAACTAAATGAAATTATATTTCGAAATCATATTACTCCACATGCATCAATTTGAGATACTAACTAAAATCAAATGACACCTACATTAATCAATTTGAGCATATTAACCAAATCATATTAAACAATTTGAGAATAATGGGAACACACTTACCGTAACATGCATTTTTAAAATAAAAATCAAATACTACAAATAAGAATTAATGGTAAATCAAAATTAGAATACATAACCTTTATGAAAAAAGAAGGAGGAGGCCGACAGTGGCAGCAGCAGACGGTGGCGAATAACGGCGGAGGCGAACGGCGGCAGCGAACGGCGGCAGCCAACGGTTGAAGGCAGAGTTGGAGTTGAGATCGGTGGAGTGTAGAGGGAGATATGAAGGATTTAGGGTTTTGGCCTGAAAGGAATGCGGAATGAAAAATCAGCAAAGTGTTGATTTTATATGAAGGGGTAGTCACGGACCGCCTTTGACCGTCGTAAATTACGAAGTCAGACGCGCGGCAGACGAGGTGTCAGGGCCGCCTTTGACCGCCGTAGTCACGGACCGTCCGTGACTAGGACCGTGACTAATTCAAAAAAATTTGAATTAGTCACGGTCCTAGTCACGGACCTGTACGATTTTTGAATTATTCACGGATGTAGTCACGGACGGTCCGTGACTAAATACTTTCCATCCGTTCCACACGCCCAGCCCGTGGTCAGACGACAGTGGAATAGATTCCACTTTATTATATTCGAGTTTTGAGTATAAATAGATGATTCCCGGTCCAATGTTTGTGAAAAAAATGGCTAATCGAGAACCAATTGACTGGGATTCGATGTGCAGAACTATGAAACGACTCAAGCTAATTACACAGTTTATGGAGCCGAAATCCTTTGAAGCATACCAGAGAATCACGGAGTTGATGGCTAGACCCCTTGAAAGTTTTGGCGATTATATAGATGAGGAATCCGACTCACTCGGCAAGTCAAAAGCAAACAACTTGTGTCGGATGCTTCAACGTGCAGAAGAATGTTCGGAGTATATGTATCCGATCAACGAAGAAGCTGAAAGGAAAATTCACGAGCTGTTGACTAGGCCTCTTGAAAGTTTTGATATTGATGAATAATTTTGTATTTGTTTGTTTGGTTATTATGATAAATAAATGATTAATGTTTCGTTAGTTGATTGTGATAAAAAAATTGTGTGTTTCGTACTTATCTTTTACGGAGTAATAATGATGAAGAAATATTGTTGGACTACAATAATAATGAAGAAAAGAGTACAAATATTCGAAATCAAAAAAATTGTAATACAACAATACAATTAGTCACTATCAGAGTCATTATTTTCTACATATACAACATCTTCTTCTGTATCAGAACCGTCTATCCATTCTCCTTCTTCCTGATAATAAGCATTTTGTTGTTCTTCATGCATTTCAACAATTTCGCGCTCAGATGGAATTGTTAGGTCTGGAAGGTGCGTTTCTGGCATGACTTCAACACTTCCCCCATTTGGATCACTTAGCTGAATGTGCTGGTTGACCATCTCAACAATCGGTGGAGGTTGGAAAAAATGTTGTTGAAAAGCATCTAAATCAACGTCCTTGTGTTGAGTTTGTGATACAATTTTGCTCGGACGGACAGTACATGCACAAACCCAAGGATTCTGTGTCCGCCTGGTTGAAGGATATTCTGTATAATAAATCTGGGCTGCTTGTTGAGCAAGTATAAAAGGCTCATTTTTCGTATACACGCGAGAGTGGTTGACGTCAATCATATTATACTTTGAATTTTTTCGCACACCACGTGTTGGATCAATCCATTTGCAGCGGAACAAAACGCATGTCAACTTTTTCCCAGCAGAAGGCATTTCCAGTTCGAGAATCTCGTGCAAGACACCAAAAAAATTGGTTTCCGAGTTATCATAACCGATTGTTGGGACACATAACCCGCTGTTCACTGTAGGTCGGCCCTGTCCGTAAGCGACTGTGTGATAGGTGTAACCGTTTATCACATATGACCGCCAAACTTTGACGTAGGCACCAGGGCCCCACGATAATGATACTAACAAAGGGTCCACAATCCCACGGTTATTGATCTGTAAATTAAAACACGATAACTTTGGGTAATTATTAAATATTATTAATTAATAATATATATAATTAATGTGTGTGTATGTATATATACCTGATGCTTGTACCACGGTATAAAATGAGAGTCCACCAATGCATCAATTTCATTGTCAGGGAATGCTGAGTACTCCGCTCTAAATTCACTGTGAAGTCAAACATGAAAATATTATAAATCAACTACCTTAATTGTATATATATTACAAAGATAACTACAAATTTAACTTACTGATAAAACGGTAAGATTTCTGGACAATTAATGAGCATATAAGTATGCGCAATTTGTAATTCTTTTCCCACGATGTATCGGTTTGTCCAAGCTCCTTTACCTCTACCTGGGTAATTGAAAATGGAGACTACATTTTCATACAAATCCTCGCCGATGTCATCGTTTCGGGCAGGTCTCTTTCTTCTAGTGATGACTTCACGCTCAAAATAAAAAGATGAGAACGTTGAGATTTCTTGTTGAAGATATGCTTGACAAATTGAAGCCTCAACGTGTGCCTTGTTGGTCACTTTCTTTTTCAACTCTCCAAGAAATCTGCAAAGTAAAATAAAAGTGGTACACAGATTAATGTTGTTATGAAATAAATATTCAAAGATAAATGAAATTGTGACTAACCTTTCAAATCTGTACATCCAGCGATAGAAGACGGGTCCACCATTTAAAGCCTCATACGGAAGATGTATTACAAGATGTTCCATTCCATCGAAAAACGACGGAGGCATTATCTTTTCCAAATTACACATCAGCATGGGAACAGACTCTTCTAGTCTACGGAGGGATGCTG